ATGATGCGGAAGCTCCTTGGACGACACCCTCCTCCGCCGGACGATGGTACATCAGGACCCAGTTTCTCACCACCTCATCCATTTTGATTTGGGAAAGTACTATTTACCACATTTTGGATTTTCATTTTTTATGTTGTCCGTAAAATTCTGTCTTTAATCTTTTGTTAAATTTACATTGAGGACAATGTAGTAACAAAGTTTGGGGAGGTGACATAATTTTAACTAAATATATGTATTATCTGTGTTCATCGGTATGTGTGCATGAAAAAATAATTGCATTTTATTCATTTTTGTTTTAATTCTTTTCATGCATGCTTGTGTGGGCTTGATAACCTTACTAGCTATGATGTTATAATTGGACTAGGTTAAACTGCAAAAATCTTTGGATCTAATGCAACTGGGCTAGCTGACACTTGTTGATGCAAAACTTGACATTATCTGTGCACACTATTCATGCTTGACATATTAGATAATTGATTGGATTTTGAGCATAAAATAGAAAAAGAATGATAACCCTCTATTGAATTAAACTGTAAACTGCCTTAAGATAGTTTGGTGATGGTTGAGCTCTTGTAAGGGAGCATTGAGATGAGTGGAGGCTCCGTGCATGAATTCTATTGTGTGGATTGCCTAGACCAGTGTGGTGAAGATTAGGTGAAAATCTTAAATTAGGGGTTAGTTTTGGAAACTAAATGTCTAGAACAATAAGGGCATAAAATAAATTTGTGAAAACAATACACTTCTTTTCATACCTTTATGACTCGACCAAGTAAGTCTGTAAGGATATTTCAAAATCTGGTGCCCTAAAGTCAACTGGCTTGGGAGTCACCGGCCAAAAGCTCGCTAAAAAGGTCATATAGAAAGTAAGAAGGAAAGAGGTTAATTGAAAGTCATATGATCGAGTCTTTATAATTCGAGTGAATAAGCCTGCAAGGGTTTAAAACCCGGTGCCCTAAAGCTAGCTGGTTTGGGAGTCACCGGCCTAAAACTCGTTACATGGGTTATATAGAAAGCAAATGAGAAGATGAAATTAAAAAAAATAATAATAATAAAATCAGAAAAATTAGAGAAAAGAGAAACGATAACATGAAGAAAAGCCGTTGGACATTTGGTTAAAGAAACTATACCGTTGAGGCAAGGTAAGTAACCTAGTTTAATCTTAAGAGTCGACGCGATCAAACTTAAGAGAGCCTTCACGTATTGAAATGTAAACTTGTGATAGTGAGATTAATCTAAACTATGAGAGGGTGGGGACTATAGCTATGTGAATTCCTAGTTTCGAAACACAACCCTGGGATAATTGAGTTAAAAATAAACATAAGTTTGGGGGGTTGTGTATCTCTCGAGTGAGTAAGGATAGAATTGACCACTTGGGGTCGGGACTCAAACCCATCATGAACCTAATATGTTGGCATGAGCTCACACACACACGTCAAGTACACATTTAACAGGCGAAGGTTGATGTCATTTTTGCACTGATATATCTTCATCAAATCAAACACTTAGTCCAATCCTGAGCCGTAGCAGGGTATTAAGCCATGTTTGCTTAGAATTTAGTCACTATCTTGTTTGAGGACAAACAATAGTTCAAATTTGGGGAGTTTGATAAGTGTGTTTTTGCACACTTATTTAGGTCACAAACATGATTTAATTACAAATAAAATGATTGAATTGTGACTTGATTTCGTTATATTTGTGAATTGTAGGTAACACCGATGAACATGGTGAAATACATGAGAAAAGACGCGAAAAATGACTAAAATGACACAAAGTGAAAGTTCAAGGACCCAGGTGCAATTACCCAAAAGTTGACCCGATGAACAAATCAAGAAATTGAGTTTGCTAAATACAAATTGATGACATTTTGGAATAATGGAATGTGAAGAATGAAGAAAAGATGCAAAGAAGTGGAAGATTCGACCAATTTGTAGGAAATGGAAGTTTAATTCTACCATGAGATCGCATGGTAGAAATGTCGTGCGCACGAAGTGATGCAGGGAATTCAACTGGAAAAAGAGAATAACCATACGGCCGCACGGATTAAAACCATGCGATCGCATGGTACATTTCCAGCGCGAATTTTTTCTTTCCTTATACGATTGAAACACCGATGATAACCTAATCTTCCACGGGATATAAATATCAAAAATATTCCAGAGACGCGAGGAACGTAATTGGAGGCTGAAAAACAACTCTTGGAGAGGATTTGAGCGCAAGAACAAAGATTGGCACGAAGAACTTCAAGATTTATTCAAGTTTTATGACCCGGTGATGTCTTTTATACAAAATATGATGTATTTTGTTATTTTAATCATGCTAGGGTAGATTTTTATTATGGTAGGAGATCGATGAACCATGTGATTTGAATTTTAATATTCTAGTTTTGCAATTTGACGTTAAGACACAATTTTTATTATTTTGAATGATTTATATGCAATTAATGTTTCCGCAAGTAAGGGCTCGTAATTGTGTGAATTTAAGCGATTTATTCTTGCATTCGAGAGAATTGGAATAGATTTGACATAATATAAATCATCGTAGGGTCCGATAGTGGATAGAAATATACCGCTTGCCCTACGTGAATCTTTAAATGTTCATAAAATCGCATGTATTTATACATATGCTCTTGTCATAAAAATATAGATCGATGGTATATAGAGATAGGTTTGATACATCTCGAGAGAGAGTATTGGATAGACCTAGGAACATTGATTCATCAAAATTGAAATGTGTTGTCGTATTGTGAAACTAGGGTTTAAAGTGATAATTGCATGGGAATTCGTGATTCTAGTGTATTTCATTTTAATAATTATAACAAGTGCGTTCTCAACTTTTAGATTTCATTCTAGAGTTTTAAATTATTGTTTTGCATATTAATTTCAATTTAATCATAAAAAAATTTGCATAATTGAGGTTCAATTAGGTCTACATTCACTTTGGTAATTTAGTTTCGTTTAAAGCTACGGTAGGTAAAATTTGAGCTAACCAATCTCTGTGGGACGATATTCGGACTCATTGAATCCACTTTATTACTTGTTAACAAACCATACACTTGCGATTGTTTAAAATCGAAAGAAATAATTTCGTGAACAGTACTTTGAAGAAACCCTCCAGTGTTGATGACCATCTTTTGGGGCCATGGGAACAATGCAATTGCATGATTTTGTCCTGGCTTTGCAACTCCATAAGCAAACAGCTCAGATCTAGTGTGGCTTTTATGGATAATGCGAATGAAATCTGGACAGAGTTACGGGAGCGATTTTCCCAGTAGAATGGTCCCCGGATTTATGAACTGAAGAAGGCATTATCGAATCTAACTCAAGAAGACGACTCTGTGAGTATTTACTATAGTAGACTTAAAAGTTTATGGGATGAGCTCTCAGTTTATGATCCTCTGCCTGAATGTACCTGTGGCAAACTGAAGTTGCTATTAGATCGGCATTATATGCGATACAATTCTTGATGGGATTGAACGAATCTTATTCTAACGTTCGTGACCAGATCATGCTAGTGGAGCCTTTACCATCTGTAAATAAGGTCTTCTCTTATATTCTGCAACAGGAGAGACAACGGTCAATTACTTCATCTACATCTTCTGCAGAATCTATTTCTCTAGCTGCAAGAAAATTTTCTGGTCCTTACAAGTCTACTGTCCATTCTAAGAAGGAAAGGTCATATTGTACCTACTGCAAAATTGGAGGTCACGATTTGGAATCTTGTTTTAACGCAGGCAATGCTGAGGCACCACTCTGTAATTACTGTCATATGGTTGGTCATATTGCAGAAAAATGTTACAAAATTAATGGGTATCCTCCAGGCCATAAGCTTCATGGCAAAGGGAAATCAACTGGAGCCTATGCCAATCAAGCTTCGGTCCAACGTGTTGATGACAATGATGTGACGAGGGAAAAAACTACAGCTACGCCGTCTGCTACCATCGCACCTAATCCTTCACCGTCCACATCTGGTATATCACTACAGAGCAACTCAGACACAAGAAACCTTCAAGAAGATGCTCTTGCTGATGAGTAATTCTACTGCAATTTTAGTTAGAATTCATACCTGCATAGAATAGTCTTTGTAACAGAATTTGTTAGCATTGTTGTATATACTTTACATGATCTGTATCTTATATGTAAGAGAAATATACAGAAGATTTTGTTCATCTCCGTTCTTCATCTTCCTCTGATTTTCCTCCCAAAATATCCAAATCTTACACACTATTTTCTTGGGTTTCTACTTCTTGATTGCCTTTTTGTTAATTTCTGAGTTATTGTTTTTCTTTTTATTGAATTGATCATGCCTGGCAATTTAATTGCTCTTTGGTGAACACTATTTTTATAAACTGTTCTCATGAAAATCTGAATTATGTGAATTATTGTGCTCAATGTGGAATTTTAACGTGGTATTGAATTGTCTGAAAGGGGTGAGGGGTGAATGTTAGATTGAAGGAGTGAATCTTTGTCAGGAATTGCAGAGAGGGAAAGAGGATTAAATCTTTTCCTAATTGAAACTGAGGTAGGGACTCTATAATGATTAAAAAAGTTCTAATTTGAATGATTTGTTTCTTTGGAAAATCATGCCATTATGAGTATTCTTTAATTCCTCTTAAGTCCTGTTACCATGTGGATATGACAGAAAAAAGCATAAAATATGAAGGTTGCAAGCTCCTGTGGATATGCAAAATCCAGGTCAAGAGATCATGCAATAGTTTCTGCACCTTTTTCCAAATGATTTTTGGCCTTCATAGTACTTTTGCTTGATCGTGTATCTCTGAAATCTGAGTAAACCATTATGAGATGCAAAAGATAATTGAATGATCTTTGTACATTCGCTTTGTGCAGTTTTTCAACAGTAAAATTCCATTGCTTTGGTCTAGTAATTTAATTTACTACTGTTTTGGATCTGTAAACTTGAAGTATTTTCTTGAATTTCTCATATTGCCATCATCTATAAGTTTCTTAAATTCGTATATATAAATCTAGGGATTTTGTTTTAACTTTTAGGTATGCTTGAATTCTAAGGAGGCTAAAAGCATAGCTTCTGTACATGAAAACTAGACTGCAATATTTATTTTGAGACATCCATAAGTTTCTACAAGAATTGTCTCCCCGAATTTGTAAAGCAACAAGGATAAATCACTCTGGTTGCATAATCTTATCGGTTCATCTTTATTATCTGCATTTGCAATGTTCAAAGTTGAATTATGTGAAAAATCCTTGGATGTTGAATGGAAAATTTGGATCTAGTTCTACAGGATCAATTGGAAACTCCATCCCTCCAATCGGAGAATTGGTTGTCGAAGCATGGCCTGAAATTATTTCAGCAATATCTGATTCTGAATGTTGCAAATTATGAGCACCCCTAAATCTCTTCATCTGGTAGGTTGATGATGCCGAGAAGTAATTTGATTCAGACAGGGCTGGAGATCCAAGCAAATGAGAATTGGCACCCAAGTGACTGTCATCAGCAACCGCGGAGGTTGGAAAAATATGATTCTCAAAGTTGACACTGGCAAATGTTGATGGAAACGACAAGTGGGGCTGGATCTCTTTATTTTCTAGGCCCTCGGTGTCGACTTTGAGTTTTGCTCGCAAGTCGAAAAGCATCTGGTTTTGTTGCTGTAATTTATGGTTTAATTCTTGTTTTTCCGGTGATGCAGGGGGTGGATCTGCATTGTTCGATTGGGTGCACGTGTGCGTCCCTTTGTACGTGATCTCAAAAATGGTGGGATCATCATCAGATCTTTGCACTTGCTTTGCTGCCCAACAATTTTGAACGTGACGGTATGTGCATCTGTAATAGCTTCTGCAAACATATATAGACTTGTATTAGATTGAATCCGCATGATCTTTTTATCAGATATGTAATAAATTCTTTCATATTTTTTAGTTTAATTTTTTCTTTAATGTTAGGATAAGACAACAAACCTGGGATATTTAGCTCCCAGAATGTCTTTCTGTCCATATTTTCTCCAACTATATCCATCATCAGTAGGTCCTTCAAGTCCATTTTCAGAGGCAACACTCACTTGCTCTGTCCATGTGGGTAACATTTTTCTGCAAATATAAACCAATCAAGAAACATATTACTTTGGAGGAAAATTCCCAGAATTTGGTATGGAAAAATTGTGTATCTCGAATCGTGATCAACTTAAAAAGTAAATATACCTCTTCTTTGATGTTTCTCTGTGTTCTTGATGTTCCCTGGAATTCTTGTTCAATTCATCACTTCGTGGACTTCCATCGACAGATATGGAGGACTCTGGTGCACCGGATGTTGGTGCACCTAATTGGACTTGTCCTGTTGATCTACTCCACTTAAGAATCAATAGAGCTTTCTCGTAAGAAGAAAGTATCTTTTGCAGAAGCAAGTCCTGGGCTTTGGAAGGGGAAGTCATGCACAAGTGAAACCGAAGCTGTTTAGCTTTCTCCATTCCTTGAGTGAGTTCGTTAATCAGCATCTGGTGTTCCCATGTCCGAGTGCTTTCCATTTTGGTTGATTGTTCCACAAAAGAGCGTTGCGTTTTGGCGTAGTCGAATCTTCTAAAGGGTAGCTATGATTGTGCCGGAAAAATATTCATTCATTCCATTCGTGCAAAATGCTGAATCTAATCGAGGGATAGGGTTCTCGTTCTCGATATCAAGAATTTAGTGACTTTCTTGAACTACTTGAATATGGTGAAAAACTTGGCTATGGGTGATGCTGATTAAGTAGACAGTGGAGCATTTAGATTTAAAGACACCTTTTGGGATTGATTGTGGGAAGAAAGTGATGTGGAAAAAATGGTCGGATAGTTGAATTTGACTGAGAAACCGAGTTTTTTTGGTGCTTGGACCGGTCAACGGTCATAGGGGAAGTGTATAGTGAGGGAATTCAAATGCTGACCAATTCAAACTCCCTCAAAGTACTGTTCCTCTGTCTCTCGTGGCTTAAATTGAACCAAACTATCCTTTTCCTTTTCATTTTTTTTTTAATACCACAAATTTAATACGACTTGAAAAGGTTGTCTAATATTTTATGATTTATCGGAGTAGAGTATCTTAAACTTGGACTAGAAGGGTCACATAACAAGAGTGGATGATAAATGACGTCTTCTTATCCAGTTTAAGGATTAATGACACGTTTGATATGTTGAATCGAAATGATAATCGTTACGTTTTTGTCATTGATAATTTCATTAATTTTGTTTAATTCTCTCTTATGTGAAATATTAAGCTCCTTTTTGGTAATGATTAAAATCAAGATTTTAACTTGAGCTAAAGTCAACAATTAATTTTACACTTATTTTATGAGATTATAATTTTCAATTACACATTTTATCAACTTTAATCGAAATCTAATGAATATTTGATTCTGATTTCCACCAAACAAGATCTAAATATAATTTATAAAAATTATCCTACCTCACTAGTTATTCATCGAAGTGACGTATCTTGAACATGAAGTAAAAGCATTATATAGTAAAGCGGGAATTAGATTTTAGGACACTTATTCTAAAATAAACTGTTACTTATTCGATATATTTATTTATTTAAATTGCCCTTCTACAAATTCGTTACTTATAAGTCAAATTTATATTGATGAAGCAAACACGCCCTAAAACTATTGCGTTTCTAGTACATCTAGAAAGAGTGGAAGGTGCATGTGCTGACCAATTCAAAATTCCAAATGAGTCATATGTTAAAAATATATATTATTCTTGACTAATGATTGAGAGTTTAGGAGAAGAAAAATGAAGTCAAAAAGTTTTAACAAAATAATCTCAGTAAATTTCTAAATCCGCGTCGTTTGATTCTATTGGGTAGATTGAGTGCTACTGCTAATTTGGACAGTACCATTCGTCTGCCGATGATGTCATATTTCAATAGATTTCTGTCTCAGCAAATTTTAGAATCATTCTCCTTTTTATACTTCCGTCGTATTTGATAAGACGAGATAATTGATTAAAAGATAGAGACATGTACAATATAAATAAATAAAAATAAAAATAAAAAAAAGTTGAACCCCAACTTTACGGGCCCCATCGCCTCGCCCCTGGAGCGTTGTGAGATAGGTAAAAAATCAAGGGATGTGTCTTAACAGATTAGGAAACAAGAGCTTGCCTGTATATCGTTGTCCACAAAAAGTCCAATTCCATATATCAGGAATCGAACTCTCGCACTGCGGCTATCAATAAAGCTGAAACTGTAAGTATTATGTCCTAAGTCCAATCAACTTTGGACATAAATACTTTTATATATAATTAATGCAATTAAATGGCAGATCTATTATTTAATTAATAGACAATTAAATAAATAATAGAGTCCGTAAATTCAAATATTTGTAATTTATTAATCACAAGGAGTTGTGATTGTGAGATACAAATTACATCTGATTGAATCTTAAATCATCCGTGGTCGTAAGTAATAACGAGATACGAATATCGTTATTACGGATAGACGATCACGTGTGACATTTCTTACTTGTGAAGTAAGTAGCTGATCTCGCAAGTTAAAGTGTGGTGACACTTAAATGAACACGTGGATGTTTGTTATAGAACAAAACATTGGAGACCCGTCGAGAGATTCCACATGGATAACTATCTGAGTGTCAGTGGTTAATCTCTAACGTTCGGTAGTGGAATTGGTCCTTTGACTTGAGGTCGTCATGGTACCTTATATGAGGACAGTCATATTTTGGCGGTGTTGGATGTTGCTCTGAAAAGGGCCGCTAATACGACATCGTTCGGGTACGTCAAGAATCGTATGAAGGTTGTGATTGATCAATAAATGATTCGTCACTCTTAGATAGTAAGAGATTATGATCTGCGTTTCATTCAATTAAGTCGATAACGAAATCCTTGGCTAAGGTGTACTCATAAGTCGAAAAGGAGTTTTCGACTAATATTGACTTAATAGTGGAGTGAAAGATATGATCGATAATCGAGATTGACACAATTCCATATCTCGTAATTGATCGGATCATATTGACGAAGGGATTATAATTTCACGGTAAACGAACGAATTTGATTTTGTCATACCACGTGACATTTCTCGTCACATGTATTCCCTGACACATTGCTAGATGTCAATCAGGGACGGCGAGTGTGAATTGACAATAAATTAAAAGGGTATTTTAATTTATCAATTTTGATTAGATCAAAATAATATTTCACGTCGTTAGGCATCGTTGTCGGGAACCTAATGGGTCGCACACAAAAGAGAATTGGAAGATTGCAAATTGCCAATTGATTAATTTAACAATCGTTGGATAAATTAATTAATTGGATTTATTATTTATATTTCCGAATTAATTAATTGGATTAATTAATTCACGGACCGGGTTTAATTAATTGAATTAATTAAATATTGGACTGCATCGGATCGAGTCCATTTGGGTTTATATAAATACATAACTAGGATTTGAGGTCCATATGGTTTTCATTATTCTTGCTGGCACAAGAGAAAACCCTGGAAGCTGCAACCTTATTCTCTGTGTGGATCACCGTTGGAGGCTGGACAATTGAACAGCTGTGGTGGCAAATCAAGGTTGATGGAACTGAAAGCAAAGCAAAGAAGTTTGCAAATCTTGAAAATGTACAATCTTATCACAATTTCTATCTAAATACAAATGCGATTCTTGGTGGGAATCGAAAATTATTTTAAATTCCGCTGTGCATGTATAAGTAGATTCCCAACAGTAGTATCAGAGCATACTTTGTATTTGTTAGAAATTGTTCAACATATTTGTGCAGTCAATAGTCGATCGTTATATTTTTTCTTGTTTCTAGCGATTAATGAAAATTCGATTTTCATATTTCTGATTCTGATTCGAAAAAAAATTTAAAAATAAAAAATCAAAAAAATTAGAGGAGAAGGGGACTGGCCGGCGACAATAGTTGTCGCTGGCATTGGGCAACCGACAGCGGCACTAGCCGCTGCACAGGCGTGGGCTGCACCGAAATGGCAGCAGCTGCAGCGCCTGCTGCCGAGGGTTGAATGAGAAGGGGAGGCCAAGAGAAACGAAAGAAAAAAAAAAAAAAATTGGTTAGGGTTTTTCAGGTTTTGAATTGGGGACGGGGGCTTCAAGAGTAATTTGAGGTCCCCATCTGCAATTTCAATTTCAGGGGTCAAATTTTTAAATAATAAGAGGCGGGGTTCTTCTTCTTATGATTTGAGAAATGAGGGGCTCCTCCTTGCAATTTCGATAAGGCGTTTTGTGCAAATTTTGAATAAAGGGCTGTTATGCAAATTTCAAATCTCGAGGGCCCTATTGATAATTTGTAAATGGGTCAAATTTGCAAATCTCAAAATTATTTTGAATTTGTATTTTTAAATGGTTTTAAATTGTGTTTTAATGGGTTTGACCTATTATTTTAATTTGACCCGAATTAAAATTTTATTTAAAATTGACGACATTTTATATTTTCGTTAAAATTGGATTTTGACTTAAATATTAAACTTTGACCCCAATTGAATTTTATTTTATTTAGAAGTGTTATCCTAATTTAAAATATTGATTCAATTTAAATTAGAGTTGGACTCTAATTTAGGATTTAATTAAAATTCGATTTTAATTAATTTTTACCCGAAGATATTTTAGAAATTAGAATTGGATTCTAGTTTGACATTTAATTAAAATTTGATTTTAATTAAATTGTTTCGCCCTAAATTTTTCTTTAAATTGGAGTTAGACTCTAATTTGATTTTTAATTAAAATTTGATTTTAATTAATCAGGTTCGCCCTAAAATCTTAGATTTAGAGCTGGACTCTAATTTTACCATTTAATTAAAATTTGATTTTGATTAAATTGATTCGCCCTTATATTTTTGAAATTAGAGTTTGATTCTAATTTGATATTTAATTAAGATTTGATTTTAATTAAATTATCCCGCCCTATAATTGTCGAATTAGAATTGGACTCTAATTCGGTATTTAATTAAAATTTGATTTTAATTAAACATGCACTCTAATTAAATAATTGATTAATATGATTAATTGATTATTTAATTATTCCGATCCATTAGTCTAAAAGAGTTTAGACGATTTTAATTGCTAGAAACTTGAAACATTTTAGGATATAATATTAGATATTATATAGGTATACATTTATGTGATTAATATATTATTAGTGGACGATTATGGACTCGACCATATGGATGTGTTGAATGGTTAATTTTTATTTTTGTCGTTTTATGGGCCTGCGAGCCCGTTATTACTGTTATTATTTTGGCCCTGCGAGTCCATTATTATTATTGTTACTATGGGGCTGCGAGTCCAATTTCATTTAGGCCTGCGTGCCAACTAGTATAGGATACATGTTGAAATTGGACTAATTGAAGAGACAAGAAGAGGTGGAGACCATGGAGATGGTGCATTGACACTGTTCAATGCCATACCCTCTAGGAATTGACCAACTAGTCTTCCTTATGGCTCGGGAAAACTATATAGTAAAAGTCCATTATCGTCTACACTATTATATTATGTTATATATATATATATATATTTATTTATTTATTTGCATAGTAGACGTATAATAATAATATATATATGATCGTATTGATGTTGATGAGACTCATGAATGCAAAATTCCTCCATAAAATATTAAATCACATTTGTAATCGCCTTCCATCATTATAGTGAAAAATCAGAGTCCCAAATCGTCTCAACTTGTTGAGTACACTCAAAGCTGGTCCATTAGGGATATGTTTGACACTATGAAATATTTGATATTTCTGAATGATGGGTTTGACTTAATTAAAATTTATCTTTT